CCGGGAGGAAAGACGATTCATGCGGCTGGCAGTTTTTTAAACACAACTGTATCTTCAATTTAGAAACCACTGCCAATAAACAATCATGAAAATGCACGACGAGTGTGGTTATTCTTCAATAGGTTATCCTTGGATTCCCACCTCTGCTGGTGGAAGTCATGCTGTCCTCGCGATCGACAGTCGGTGACGAATCACACCAGCCGCACCCTGCGTAGCAGAGGGACAAACTTGCAGTTTCATCGGGCTAAAATAAAAGGCAAACGCGGGACTTCTCTTAAAGTTCATTTGCTCGGCTTCAGAATTCCTCGGCAGCGCTTACCTGCTCTTGGGAGCCTTTTCCTGGGGTTCCGTTCCCCCGAAATCCGCCGCGGGCACATCTGTGGGCTTCGCTGGCTTCGGAGCGGGGTCTGCGGCAGGTTCTGGTGGCCTGGCGGCCTCCTGCCCACGCTGCGGCTTGGCGACAGCGGAGCTCCGGGCGCCACCACCGGGCCTGACATTCGGCTTCACGCTAAGGCGCGCCCTGCGGAACATGGCGGAGCCAGGGGTCCCGGGGAGGCGGCTCCACGGCCGCGCTCAGCCCCGAGGCCCGGCCGCTGCCCGAGAGAGGGCTAGGACCTACGCCCTTCCCACACCTCACACCACCAGCCCTGTCGTCAGCTACCGCAGTTTCGTACCCCCGCCACCACCTCCTCGTTCCCGCCACCGCCTCTTCTTCATGACCCTGCCACACTAGTACTAAGTTTCTCCTGGAGCCTCGCTCCCCCACCCGCAAAGAGTGCCGGAACTACCTATGTTGATTACGTCATCATCAAGCGCCGCCGGATGACGTCAAATCAGGGCGCCCGGATCCATAGTAACTGCTGAACTACACAGCGGGAGTTGTCTTTGGACTGGCAATGGAGGCACGAAGCTATGCGCTCTCTTTCAGGCGTCCTTGGGATTTGTTGAAGAGGAACGGTACAAACAATGGTTTAAGCGAATTCTCAGATTAAACCATTGCTTTTCTCTTTCTGGTGCTGGGAATTGCACCCAGTGCCTCCCACATACTGAGCTCCTCCCCCCTCTCCCTTATCTCAAACCCTTACCGAAACCACTGAAGTCACTGGCACATTTTCTTCCTAGAGGCTCCCCAGACATAGTTAAAAAGTAGGAGGGGGCCGGGTAGATAGTTCAGCAGCTTAAGTGCCTGCCTGGCAGGCTCAAGGTCCTGAGTTCGATCTCTGGTACCAAAGAAAAACTATGCGAGCCGGGTCTCATCACAAGTGTATTGTCAGAACTTACTCCATTTATTTTTTATTTTTTGGCGGAACCGGGGATTAGAACTCAGGTCCTTGCACTTGCCAGGCAAGTGCTTATCCTACTGAGCTATCTCCCTGGGCCAGAATTTGCTAATTCTAAATAGAGTAGAACATAGGCCAGAAATTGTGGTCTAGTAGGCAGCTCAATTAGAAATATTATAAGCACACAGGGCCAGGCCCTCAAAGAGCCAATATGAAAGATAAGGTGACTTTGCAACTTTGGAAGAGACAGACATTCCCCTAAGCAGGCCAGACCTCAAGACAAAAAGTTAATTAGCCACGTATTTCCCTAAGAATGGGCATCAGTGATTGATATTCTAAATAAGTATCAATCACCTTGAAAGAGCCCAGGGCTGGGGAGGTGGCTCAATAGAAAAAGTGCTTAAAAGAAAAAAGAAAGAGCCCAAATGAGTCACTAACCCAACCCCTAACAGGAAGAGACCTTATTCCATATTCATGCACGCTTGTGATGTGACTTGCTTCTCCATTTGATTCCGATTTAATCAATTTTACCTGAGCAATGGTGCTTGTATTCTCATTGGTTGACCAGAGCTTTGTCCCACCTTATGCCCACCTAAAGGAGTTCCCAGGTTCTCCATCACCTTAGGCCCGCCTCACTGCATGGTTTTCTAAAGTTCCTGGAAGAGTCAGCTTCCTAGGACTACCTGTTGGGGTGGGGCTCCCCTCCTCCTGTCCCTTTCTAGGACAGGAGCTTTCTTTCCCCCAATAAACCTATTCTGCTCATAACCTACTTTTGTTCCTAAAATTCATTCTTCGGTTTTAGAGAACACGAACTCATCCCAGGTACCTTTTAGGTTGGGAGATCATTTTTCCCCTATAACATTTGGAGGTGCCTATATCAGTAGGAGAAAAATGATAATGGTTAACTCCTTGGGAGGAACCAAGTATCTGTGAAACATACCGTAGGATTAAAACCTGCGTATTCTTTTTTTTTTTTTTTGGTGGAGCCATGGATTGAACTCAGGCCCTTGTGCTTGCCAGGAAAGCACTTATTCTGCTGAGCCATCTCCCCAGCCCAAAATCTGTATATTCTTAAATGTGAATGCATTGGTCATTCAAAACATACTAGTCAAAACATTGCAAATTAATGTATTTTAATGTTTCCTTTTTTTCCATAATTTTATGGAGAAACAAATAGCAATGAGACAGTTTCAAATCAAATTTTTGGGCTGGTGAGATGGTTCAGTGGTCTAAGGCACCTACTTGGAACAAGCTTGGCAAAGCACAGGGACCACGGTTCGATCCCCCAGCACCACATGCCAACCCGCCCGCCCCCTGGTAGGCTGAGCTGGCCACACACACACACACACACACACATAAATAAATAAATAAATAATTAAAAAAAAAAAAAAAAAGACCTTGTGGGTTGGAGAGAAGCAAATGAAACAAATGAAGAAGATAATTTACTTGGGCCAGGGAGATGGCTCAGTGGAATAAGCACTTCCCTGGCAAATGCAAGAGCATGAGTTTAATCCCTGGTTCCGCAAAAAAAAAAAAAAAAAAAAAAAAAGATAATTTACCAATGTATTAAATGCCATAAGGGAAATTTAAAAGGTGATGTGATAGAGAATAATGGGAAGCTGACAGTAAGGTGGTTAGGGAAGGTATTTAACAATGGGAAGGAAAAATAACCAAAGGGGAGATGGCTCAGTGGACTAAGCACTTCCCTGGCAAGGGCAAGAGCCTGAGTTCAATCCCCACCCCACCCCCGCCAAAAAAAATAATAGTTTAGTCATAAAACATTTGTTACTTACACTTGAGAAGTAAATTCCTAGCGGTATCAATAATTTTTAAATTCTCAAAAAATAAAAACATAAAATTCTCCAATTCTTCTTGTGTTCATGATGTCCTTAGTGTGTACTATATCCCTATATCTCAAGGATTATAATTTCAGTTACAAAGAAAAAACTATAAAAGACTATAACAAAAACATCAAAACAACTCTTACCACTTAATCTCCAACCCCAAATTTCTTCCCTCCTTGGAATTTCCTTAAATAACTGGGTCAGAAAATTCATCTTTTCTCCCTGCTCAGGTTACTTAAGAAATTCTCTAGTGCAAAGAGAGAAAGAGACACCTGACCCAGGAGCAGTATTGAGGAGGTGGGGTGGGGCTTTGGGGACATGCTAGGCATGCTCGTAAGGATGCAAGAATAATAGCTAACATAATTGAGTACCACCACATGCTAATGCTTCACTTATGAATTCATTTAAAAAGATACAGGGGGCCTGCCCCTTAGCTCAGTTCTTTAAGTGGCTGCTTCAACAAAGCAGTCAGGTTCAGGTTGCTGTGGTTCGATCCCCACAACTCAAGCCAGCCAAACTTGCCCTGAAGGCATTCGGAGCAAAAAAATAAATAAAAAATAAATAAATGAAAAATAAAAAGGTACAACCACTTCCCCAGTTTACAAATAAGGAATTTTTTTATTTTTTTATTTTTTTTTACAAGTAAGGAATCTTTAACACAATGAAATAATTTGCCTAATTTGGCACCGCTAATATTTTGGATGGCTGGACTTTTAACCCAGACATTCCATCCCAAAGCCATGCTCCCAGGTTCTCTAAAATAATTGATGTTTGTTTGTTTGAGGTGGATGGGGCCTGCTAAATTGCCCAAGCTAGGCTGGAATTTCCTCCACCAACATCTCAGAGTGCTGGGATCACAGGTGTGCTCCACCCCACTGCTGGTTTAATAATGGATGATTTTTTTTTTTTTTTTTCCTGACTCAGGCTGCCTTAAGGGCGAGTGTGGTAATGCAGGTAGAGGTGAGGATTGGACTCTGGTATCCTGCGCCTGACTGTATTTGCATGAGCAGGCGCATAAACACATGAGCTAACCAGCAGGCCCCCTAATAATGGATTATATAGGGTAGTAGTTGTTTCAGTTTGGTCATTGGCCTGTAAGCGTCCAAGTCACATTTATTAATATTTGAAATCTTCCAAAATACATGTTTTGAACAGCCAATCATTTTTTTTTTTTTATAGGCTACCTTTCTTTATTTCTGTGTGTGTGTGGCCAGCTCAGTCCACCAGTGGGGCAAGGCTGGCTGGCATGTGGTGCTGGGGGATTGAACCGCAGTTCCTGTGCTTTGCTAAGCTTGTTCTAAGTAGGTGCTTTAGACCACTGAGCCATCTTACCAGCCCCCCAATCAATTTTAAGGGTGAAAAAAAAATATTTTTAAGGGTGATGGGGCAGGGGAGATAGCTTGGTAGAATAAATGCAAAGGCCTGAGTTCAATCCCCAGTTCTGCCAAAAAAAAATTTTAAGGGTGACCAGACCATCTTAGTTTGTAATAATAGAATAAGCAAGATAATAGGCTTCAGCCAAATGAATAACAGTACCTTTCACACACTTCACCCCTGTAACCCTCTCCCCCCAACAAAAAAGGTGAAACTCCAACTCCACGTCTCATGGAGTGCCAGCCAAGCATTCTGTCACTGAGCTACCCTATAGCCCTATTTTTTTCTTTTATTTCATTTTATTTTGAAGAGTAAAAACAAAAGCAGAAACAAAGACAGAAGCAGGGTAACATACAACAACACATATGTTACAGATTTTCAAAACAAGAATAGCAAATTAACAATGTGTAATATGAAAACCATGGTTGAATATATATCTTGATCTTCTAAATATGTACCATTTGTAATGTTTTATTTTATTTTTTTTTTCCATTTGGTATCTGTGTATTCAAAGTGGTTAGTATAGATATATAGTTACATTCTCTTAATGAATAGAGGGATTTGTTCTTTTTAAAAAAATTTTTTTAATTTTATTTATTTATTTATGTGTGTGTATATGTGTGTGTGTGTGTGTGGCCAGCTCAGCCCACCAGGGGGTGGGGCGGGCTGGCATGTGGTGCTGGGGAATTGCACCGCGGTCCCTTTGCTTTGCTAAGCTTAATTTTTTTTTAAGTAGGTGCTTTAGACCACTGGGCCATCTCGCCAGCCCCAGGGATTTGTTCTAATGGTGTTTATAAATAGGATATCAAGTCCGCATCTTGTACAGCAATTAACCACTAGGAAGAATGTATGCAATGTGTTAATTATTGAAACTGTTCTACCAATTTGGTTTGAAACTGTCTCATTGCTATTTGTTTCTCAATAAAATTATGGAAAAAAAAAAAAAAAGAAAACTATGGGGCTGGTGAGATGGCTCAGTGGTCTAAAGCACCTACTTGGAACAAGCTTGGCAAAGCACAGGGACCGCGGTTCAATCCCCCAGCACCACATGCCAGCCAGCCCCGCCCCCTGGTGGGCTGAGCTGGCCACACACACACACACAAATAAGTAAATGTTAAATAAATAAATGAAATCTGATGTTTTAAAAAAAAAAAGAAAGAAAGAAAAGAAAACTATGGCCAGGTGTGGTGGTGCATGCCTGTAATCCCAGCACTCAGGAGATAAGGCAGGAAGACTGAGTTCAAGACCAGCCTGGGGTACAAAATGGGCTCAAGGCCAGCCTAAACTGCACAGTAAGACTCTGTCTCAAAAAAAAAAAAAAGATAATAGGGTCAGCAAGATAGCTCAGCAGACTAAGCACCTGCTTAGGCAAGCACAGGGACTGGGTTTTGATCCCTGCCATCACAGGCTGCACTGGCGCTGCTCCAAGGGCAGGCGGAGTCAGCCAAGGAGATAGGTATGGTGACGCAAGCCTATAATCCCAGAGGAAGGGAGGCTGAAAACAGGAGATCACTAAGAATCTGCGCTGTGTAGTGAGACCCTGTACCAAAATACATTTTAAAAAAGACAAAAAAGAAAACTATTGGGGCCGGGGAGATGGCTCAGTGGAATAAGCACTTCCCTGGCAAGCGCAAGGGCCTGAGTTCAATCCCTGGTTCCACACACAAAAAAAAATAAAAATAAAAAAAAGTAAAGTCATAGGGCCAAGGAGATAGCCTGGCAAGCACAAGGTCCCAAGTTTGATCTCCAGATAATCTAAAAAATGCCATATGTGCTGAGTATGGTAGCCCATGCCTGTAATCCCAGCTACCTGAAAGCTTGAGACAGGAGGATCCAAAATTCAAGGCCAACCTACACAACTCAGCAAGACCCTTTCTCAATGTTTTAAGGGGCTATGGCTATAGCTCAGTAGTAGAGTGCCCTAGGTTTGATCACAGTACCCCATAACCCCCCCAAAAAAGCCACAGTGATGGTCTGCATAATCTGTGAATGAGGAGGACAGGGGCAGCTGCAGGACCTTCCCCAGGACCAGCACCACAGCTGCAGCATGAACTCACTGGCTCTGTGTATCCTCTCCCGGACCTCCATGTACTCCTGCTAGTGCTTCACTGCTGTCATTGCCACTGGCAGCTCATTGATCATCTCCTCCAGCTTGTTCTGGTGAGCTTCTGTTTCCATGTCTTGTCCTTTTGGCGGCTCCCCAATGTCAATGGTGACCATCACTATCTTTGGGGTCATGGTAGACATTCTGTTACTAAAACAAAATTTGTATGTTCCATCCATGTGAGCAGCAAACGTGTACTTCCCACTGGACTCTCGGTGTCCTTTGTAAATCCCTTTATTATCAGGTCCTGTGATCTTCTCCAAGTCGATGTCCAGGAAGCCGCCCTCAGCCACCTCAAAGATGAGGCCCACCTTGGTGCCCGAGGTGACCCGCTCGAAGAAACACTCCTCGGCATGAGCATCGATGCTCACGAAGTAGCCCGAGGCCGTGGCCAAGAGAGCGGCCAAGAGCACCAGCAGTTCAGCAAGTGTCACCATGGTGGGGCTGGGGCCGAAGCCAGGACCCGGACTGCGGCCTCCTGAGTCGCCCCCACCGCTACCTCCTCGGCTGCCGCCACCTCAGCTCCACCCCTTCCGGCTGCCCATTTGTAATGTTTTATCAATTGTTATTATACTCTATTTAAAATAAATTTTAAAAAAGTAAAAAAGACAAGAAAAAAGGTTTATTGAAAGAAGTGTTAATATTCAATTATTTGTCCAATCTTATATAACTGTATGTTAATCTGAGCAACAGATTTGATGATAAAAACAGGTAAGACCCTTAATATTTGAATGATATCCATATTAGTCTAGAGAATCATGAAATATTAGTTTAGGTAAATTTAGGAGTTTAAAATTGAATTAGATATAAAACAGTGACCTCTGACAGGACACAAAAAAAGATACAAAGGAAAGATCATTTTGTATTTATATATACAAAAGTTAGGATAAATTTACAGCTACTGTCGCTTAACTCAATGAGAAGAAAGAGGTGTACTAACAGTGTTTGGACAGAATATCCTGTGTGCTTCTTGTACTATGGATAACCACTAAGAAGATAACAATGTACAGTGTATTGACTATCAAAACTGTCCTATTAATCAGCTGTGAAACTGTGTCATTCATATTTTTTTCTCAATAAAAAAAATTTTTTTAAAAAGTGACAATGTATGTCATTGTATGTAGAGAGACCTAGTGGCTAGAGAACTTCCCAATAACAAAATAGTGTTTGTTAATAATGTTTTTTTTTACATTTTTTAAAATTTTATTTATGGGGGGGCAGCTCAGCCCACCTGGGGGATTGAACCATGGTCCATGTGCTTTGCAAAACTTGTTCTAAGTAGGTGCTTTAGACCACTGAGCCATCTCACCAGCCCTGCTTGTTAATAATGTTAAAAAGCCTTTTCTGGTCTCCTGCATTTGGAAAGAGTAAATGAACATAAATTATAACAGTTAAAAGAAAGATCCCACAGCCCTTTGCAAGGATGTTCACATGTTTGTTTGTAGCAGAAGCAGTTGGTCCTCAGCGTTTATGTGGGCTCTGAGATTATTGTGAGCTCTTCTTTTTTTTTTTTTTTTTTTTTTCTGGTTCTAGGGTTTTTTATTTGTTTTATATAAAGTAAAAATGCATTATGTTCATAACTTTCATATAATTGAAGATGTGAGCTCTTCTTAATCCTGCTCTCTTTGCCTGTGAAAGGGCTCTGAGATAATATGGCAAATTAACAGGTCCCAGAAACCATGTTAAATTAGATTCTCACCTTTCCCAGTTCCTATTTGTGAGGTTGTGACAGAAAATGCTACTGCACCCCTGCCTGGATACTCCAGTTTCCTAGTTGCCCAGGCAGTAGTCCCTGTCCCAGTTGAGGTTGCTCTTGTCTCTTGGAAAAGGCTGGTCGCTGTGAGGCATAGCTGGTCGTTATGACTCATACTGTAAGATCCAATCCCCAACTAGCAAGCCATTCTGCTCCGGTATTTCCTGCTTGCTTATCCCATATAAAACCTAAAGCTGAAGAGATCAGGGCCTGATATTTTGGGAATAATCCCGATTAGTGTGCCCCTGGACATAAAATGAATTTGCCTCCAAATCCTGGTGGTTGTTTCTGTTTACCGTTGTTCATACAACAAGAACAAAGAAGCCCACGTTGCAGGGCTACCTCGTTGGTCGACCAAGGAAGAAAACGTCTATCCAGAGACCCCACCACCATCTGCCCTTCAACTTCACCCTGATCAGTCTCCTCCTCTTTGCCTTTGCAAGGGAATGAACGAAAGCTATCATCCCACGTGGAAAAGTTAGTTGTGTTTATTGTTGTTTGTTATCTACAAGGGCGGGCGCTGACACCCACCGGGGAAAGCCGACGCGCTGCAAGGACTCGCAGCCCAGGACTCGCGCGGCAGAGTCCGGCGGTAGGCGGCGAGCGCCACGCCCCCTGGGCGCGCACGCGCAGGCGCTCTCGGGCCACGCGGGGGGCGGGGTCGCGGGCTGTGGGGACGCGGGCGTCGCCCGGCTGAGAGCCCGCGCGCGCTGAGCCTTCCAGGTGGACGGGTGGCGGCGGCCGCCGAGCGTGCGAGGGAGCCGTTGCTTGTCTGAGCTGCTCTCTCCTAGACGCGGCGGGGTGGTCGGCATGGCCCGCGGCAATCAGCGAGAACTTGCCCGCCAGAAGAATATGAAGAAAACCCAGGAAATAAGCAAGGGAAAAAGAAAAGAGGACAGCTTGACTACTTCTCAGCGAAAGCAGAGGTGAGCAGAGGTACAAATAGCGTTCTCAAGTCACTGGAGAAAGCGGTTTATGGCCAGAATATAGCTTAGCCACATGACGCCTGTCTAGCAAGTGCAAGTCCAGTGCCAAAAAAAAGAAAAATTTATTGGGCCAGGAAAATGGCTCAGGGGCATAAGGACCTGCCTGGCAAGTGCAAGGTCCCAAGTTCAATCCCCAGTACCAAAAAAAAGCAATGTATTAAACACAGAGATGAATACCTGTTGTTTACTAGGCATATGAACACCATATGGAGTCTTCATCCCAGTCCGTGAAGAATTTAATGCTCTGAAGCTGTCATCTATTTCACAAAAACTCTCCTGCAGCTCCTCCACACTGTAAGGATTTTATTCAGTAAAGCAATAAAACATATTCCATATGTAAAGCACATTAGGTGCTTTGAAAAGCAAACAGTCTGCCCAAACCTGTCTGGATGACAAATGACTGAATTATAGTGATAACTACTCTTCAGGAGAGAGCAAAAAAGGTCTGTGTAGCTATATTGACATCTAAAGATCCATTACAGTTCGACATGGTGGTGAGATGCCTGTAATCCCAACACTCAGGAAGATGAGGCTGGAGAATCACTGAGTTTGAAGCCAGCTTGGCTATACAGTGAGTTCATGGCTAACCTGAATTACACAACAAGACTCTGTCTCATAAAAATAAAGATTCATGGGGCCGAGGAGATGGCTCAGTGCAATAAGCGCTTCCCTGGCAAGCACAAGGGCCTGAGTTCAATCCCCGGTTTCACAAAAAAATAAATAAATAAATAAATAAATAAAGATTCATAATGTAGGAAGATGTATGCATTCAACCTTACTCTAGGACCTTACCTGGTTATAGCTGTGATAGAGCACCTGCTTAATGTGTAAGGCGCCACAGAAGATCTTATTTAACAATACAGAGTACCACATTAATTTTTTTTTTTTTGCGGAACCAGGGATTGATCTCAGGCCTTTGCGCTTGCCAGGGAAACGCTTATTCTACTGAGCCATCTCTCCAGCCTCAAAATATTTTTAGAGAGCTTCTTTTTATTTAATTAATTAATTTATTTTTATGTTTTGTGGAACCGGAGATTGAACTCAGACCCTTGCGCTTGCCAGGGAAGCACTTATTCCACTGAGCCATCTCCCTGGCCCCCACATTAATATTTTTGTGAGCCTACAGTTTGGTGTTTTTTGTTTTGATTTGATTTTTTGCAGTAGCAGGGATAGAACTTGGGACCTTGAGGTTACTAGGCAGGTGCTTGAGCTGTCACCCTATCCCTACAGTTTTCGGTTTAAAAAGTATTCATGTTTGTTTAAAAAGAAAATAAAAAAAATAAAAAAATAAAAAATAAATAAAAAGAAAAACTAATCAAT